AGCTAAGCAGAAGCATGTAGACTGTAAGACACGCAGTTTTATCACCCACATGAGCTAAGCAGAAGCATGTAGACTGTAAGACACGCAGTTTTATGACCCACATGAGCTAAGCAGAAGCATGTAGACTGTAAGACACGCAGTTTTATCACCCACATGAGCTAAGCAGAAGCATGTAGACTGTAAGACACGCAGTTTTATCACCCACATGAGCTAAGCAGAAGCATGTAGACTGTAAGACACGCAGTTTATCACCCACATGAGCTAAGCAGAAGCATGTAGACTGTAAGACACGCAGTTTTATGACCCACATGAGCTAAGCAGAAGCATGTAGACTGTAAGACACGCAGTTTTATGACCCACATGAGCTAAGCAGAAGCATGTAGACTGTAAGACACGCTCGAACAAAACTTTGGCCAGAGCTCAAAACGTTTAAGTTTTTTCTAGTTCTGCCACTGAATGTTTAATTATTATCATCACAGAGGAATTGTTTGAAATAAAATAGGATTTTTAAAAACAAATTAAGTTGTAATACAGTTGAGTCGATATGTGTTGATGATTAGCAGTGCCCAGTTCAAATTTAATCTTAAATAATGTGTGGATGTGTATGTATGTGTATGTATGTATGTGTGCGTGCATGTGTGTGCGCGTTTGTGTGTGTGACATAAATATGCTGACACTGTAAATAATTATAATTCTGGGTTGAGACGGACAAAGATTTTCTGTTGACGGGGTGTGTGTGTGTGTGAGGAGGGGGGATGGGGTGTAGGTAATGCATGAAGGATTGACGACATTGAGCTTAGGCTACAAGAAATTGACACAGGAATGTTAAAATATTTTTTTAACTTAACGCAATTTACTCTCGGAAGACTGGGGGAGGTGGAGGGGGGGGGGGGGGTGTGAGGGTCGACTGTTGTTTTCTTGCCCTCAGGTGTAACTGAAAGGTAAACTCACCCCAAACGATTATTTTAGGCACTTGAGTGTGCAGGTAGTTGCAGGCAGTTGCAGGCACATGTGAGTAACCTTTCGAACTCGTGAAACACAGATAATGCATGCAGCTTCAGGCTGTTATACACGCACACACACACACACATACACACACACTCACAAACACATACACACACACAAACACACATACACACACATACACACACATACACACACATACACACACATACACACACACATACACACACACAAACACATATACACTCGCATGTTCACGTGCTTATACAGTCACTAAAATAATTCACTCACTTATACATAGGCATCATCACAAACATCCCAACCATCAAACTACCCTAGCATCTTACCCTCACGCCATCAAAACATCCAACCAACCTACCATCCAACCAACCTACCATCCAACCAACCTACCATCCAACCAACCTACCATCCAACCAACCTACCATCCAACCAACCTACCATCCAACCAACCTACCATCCAACCAACCAACCATCCAACCAACCAACCATCCAACCAACCTACCATCCAACCAACCTACCATCCAACCAACCTACCATCCAACCAACCTACCATACAACCAACCTACCATCCAACCACTGTGCCATCTTACCATCACGACATCCAACCATAGAACCACCCGATAACCCAACCACCCTACCATTCTACTATCAAACCACCCTACCATCACGCCATCCATCGAAACAACCAACCACTCTAGCATCCAACCACCCTAGCATCCAACCACCCTAACAACCAACCATCCTAGCATCCAACCACCCCAGCATCCAACCACTCTAGCATCCAACCATCCTAGCATCCAACCACCCTACCATCTCTCATCTCCTTTAACCCCCCCCCCCCCCCATAAAGTCTGCACATTCCAGACATCAGCTCACCTATAAACCCAGCAGGTAGCGCCGTTATGAGGTCACCAGGTGGATCCAGGTCACGAGCCACCCCAGAAAACATTGACCTACCTTCTGACCCCCCCCCTCTACCACGAGGACCTGCTTGTGTTCATTAAAACCATGTCGCTAATTACTCGAGCGATGTTCACAAAATTTGTTTTGGTACAAGATTAGCACAAATTCCATAGAAACTATAATATTTCGAGTTCGCTTTAAAAACTTTCACTACTTTTGATTTATTTATCTGAGTAAGGCGTTTAATTAAACCAAGAGCGAAAATTTGTACTAATGTATCACTCCATGCCTATACTGCTTACATAATTAATTCCACCCGATCAAAGTAGTCATTCGCTACTCTACGTACACATTTATTACCGTATTTGAAGATGATTTAGATATTGCTAATGTTGTTTGTAAGTAAAGAAACAACAAAAGCCCTGAGAAATAGGTACTTAGAAAATGAAAGGATTTCATAATATCATTTAACATGGAAACATCTTGTTTAAGAGGATTAAGAAATGTTTGCAGTTAAGGGGGCAGATACACCCAGAACATGGTTACCTTACTAAAAAATTTACCAAAAAAAAACTATTAGACTTACAGATGCCAAATTTGGTACCAGTATAGCTTACATAGTCTATTATATGGCAAATGTAAGGAAATAAGTTTATATATGGAGTAAAGATTTTTTTAAAAATAATTTAAAAATGTAAGTGCTCCGCAATATTAAAAAAATGACCCCAACTGTAGAACTAATTTAAACCAAAGTATCAAGTACACAGCTGTAACACTTTCAATGCATCTAAAAGACATGTATGGCTATGGTATGAACCAGTCTCATGTTACTAACCATTATGGTTTGTCCATGACATAAATTTGAAAAATGTGCTAAAATTTTGAGAAAACAGCAGAACATAGCCCTACATATCTAAAAAAGTATAACACCTAGGTAAAAGATTTTGGTTCATACCATAGCCACTATATCAGGGAATGTGTGTGCAAAGTTTTATCACAATTGAACAATAATTGTGGAAAATAGCTGGAAGACAATTTGCAAACATGTCGTTTTTCGCAAACTTTTCGTATACTAAAAAAAGTTGATTTTCTTCCATGAAAACAGGCAATACACTCCAGCTTAGAAAGGATAGCACTGTTTTTCAGATTCTTTCTCCTCAGCACCTAATTCCTAGTGCTTTCTGACCTGACAAAGAGTCTTGAAAGCCCAAAATGTCTGTTTTTTTTGTTTTTTGTAACATACGACACATCGGCCGTTTTGCAGAATTCTAACAGAGTTGTCCTGGATGTATGTCTATCACCCTCAGCAAACCATCAGAATAGTGTTCCATAACTAAATATAGCTTCTGCCATTGCTATAGAAGTCTCCAATTATTACAGAATGATTCCTTTTCTTTTGGAATTACTTCCCTATCATGTCGCTGAGTGACTCATTCTGGTTGTGGGTGTAGCTATTGAGTCAATTTGTTACCTCCTATGTCTTAGCAAGGACTTCTCCAGACTGGTCTTATAGCTTCAATGACTTCTGTAAGGAGGTAATAATGTGTTCTATATGATATGACCATTGGCATTGGTGTTTTTACTTTATGCAGGTCCATTATAAGGCAAAAAACTAATCTGACCTTTCCGCGCCTTAGCTTTGCATCACAAATACAGTTCATCTGTTCACAATATGTAAAAAAAAAATACCAACAACTGAGAGGATAAGCTTAGAAACAACCAGATTATCTTTTTCATTTTGTATTATTACAATTAAATATGCATGAACTGGCTAGCCCCTTTCTTTCATTTCAACAAGTGCGATGAAATAGTTTCTCAGAGAATCGCTGTCAATACTAATTTATTATCACATTATCTATCTACATAATACATAATTTTCCAGATGATTGACTTTAATATTTAGTTTTGTTTTATTCAGAATCACCATTGAGAAGTACTTTTCCTATGTATCATTCTATTTAGTAGAATTTTGAGTCTGCATCAATGTATATTATATTTTTTGTTTTGACTTTGTGGGTGTGTCCACCTGGTTACCAAATGTAAACAAACTTTTTATTTATTTTTATTACTATTAGTATTACTGTTAGTCAGCAAGAAGGTAGTCTGTTTTATTTTACATAAACATAATCTATGTCTTTTTCTAGTTTCACTAGCTGTAGATTGCATATAATAACTTAGAAAACTCACTTTCTATACTAGTTTAGTTTTAGTAAATTTTAATACCTCAACCGTGAAATGTGTCATTATTCCAAGTATAAAATAATAAAAATCTTTAATAGGAAGTAGATCTATTTTGAAATAGGGAGTAGCTAATTATTCTAATAGTAAAGGGAGTGTTTATTGTTTATATTTATTATTATATCGTTCGTTTCCGAGTATTGTAAAAGGCTTGCCGTCCGACATTTTCCCTATTTTTTACATTCTGACGGACTACCCCTACCCACTTTAGACACTAATAACTAAAAAACTACTTCACTCAGGTCAAATTAATGCATACAGACGGATAGAGAAATGGATTCTGAATAAAATAACATTACCATACAACAATATTCGAAAAAAAACGATTTTTCAATGATTCTGGGTGTACCTGCCCCCTTAACGGTAAACATCAATCACCGGGGTTTTCTGATTTAATTTGTTTTCATAAAATTTGTAAAAATAACACTTCGACAGTTAATTATAGTTTGTTAAAATTGCTAACAATACGTGCAAATGTTTGTCGTGTAGGCATTGATGTAACTGTTTGTCGTGTCGGCATACATGTAACTGTACGAACACCAGATGTAACAATACGGTAAGTCACATGCCATAGTACGGTTAATGTTACAGAAAACGGTCGGATACTAAACCACTCCGAACAAAACCACCCCAAACTAAACCACCCCCAACAATCCCCCCCACTAAACCACCCCGAACAAAACCACCCTCAACTAAACCATCCCCAACTAAACCACCCCGAACAAAACCACCCCGAACAAAACCACCTGACCGAAAAGTAAACCAGCTCACCAACCTTGCCGTGTATCCAGAAGAAATATGCCCTACACCTGAACTCTACACACGTTGTTTGATTTAAACCAGTCCAGATAATTTCTACCTGCGGTCCAACCTACCTGCCGTCTGATTGAGCGTGGATCACACCTCGGCTCTACTTCACACAACTGGATTATCCCACACACCTCGGCTATACCTCACACAACTGGATTATCCCACACACCTCGGCTATACCTCACACAACCGGATTATCCCACGACTGACGGGTTTTATCCATTTCTCTATCAGTGGGTGATCAGCCATGAGAAACTAGTTGATCTCCCCTGAACCCACGCATCACATTCTTGTGTTTTATGTGGGAAAGTTACAAAGGTGCAACATTTCAAGAGTTATCTATACATGATTGGTACTGTGTGCGCTTAACCGTGGCGGTTGTTTTTTCGCGTGATTGACCTTTCTTATGTCACTGAAGCAAAGAGCCCTTGTGTTTGAAGGAAGAGAATTTGTTCCCGGCTTGTGGCGACATCACACCTCCACCCACCCACCCAAATTCCAGCGGTCTCGTTCTACTGGAACCGTCTTTTGTTCTGGAACCGTCCTTGGGTACCCGTCGCCAATGTATTGAGGGATGGTGTGTGACCCATTGACCTACATTCCAGATCTGTTCAGTCAGCTGTGATAGTGCTTAACGGTCATGCACCCCCACCCCCCAAACACCTCCACTCTCCCCCGTCTCCCCCGCGCACATAACGGTTGATCTAGTGCCCTTACTTAGACAAAGGTACAGGATGCAGCTAGTGATCGGTGGGGGTCGGAAAAATTATGGTGAAGGGGGGGGAGCCTAGTTAATGCACTTGCGTGGGCTTCAAAAGTTAGGGGTGGGGGGGGGGGGGGAATTATTGCAGTATGGCTGCACTTGAGGTGGGTAGGGGGTGGGGTTGGCAATTATTATTTGTGTGGGTTACAAGAAATATCCCGTGGGTGGGATGAAGAATGAATACACCATTGTACAGTATAGTGAGGGGGTGGGAGATGGGCACAAGGCTAAGACATTTCTTAAAATATCCTTTCCATGTTAATATTCTCTCATTAATGTGACAACGTTACCACGCTAAGATTCTCTCAATAATGTGACAACGTTACCACGCTAAGATTCTCTCAATAATGTGACAACATTACCACGATACGATTCTCTCAATAATGTGACCAGTGTTTCTTCCAGACTTATTTCTCCTGCAAAACACTAGAAATTTTCGGAAGGGGGGCGGGGGGACTAAAATTTTGATAGACTAAAATTTCAGGGGGACGGACGGACAGACGGGGGGGGGGGGACACTTTTAATATATCTAATATATAAAGCTCAATTCTGTATGTTTGTAATAAGTTTGTCGTTAACATACTTCGATGGATTTAAGTGTTAGATTATTATCGTGCTCATAGTCTACATTTATGAGTTTAAAAATTACTATTGAAAGTGTTGGGAAATAATTTCATTTTTCAAACTGATAGTAATAATTGTCGGCATGTTCATTAAACACAATTTTAAAAAAATATCATCGTTTACAAAAATTCTAATTATGTCTGAAAATTATTTATATTTAGTCCTTTAGCACCTACTTCCCTTTGATAAATTAGGAAACACAATTGCTTCCCTTTATAAAACATTGCATTAGTGGAAAAGAATTTACTTTTTATTACTTTGTTTTGGTGTTGGGAAAAAAATAATTACATAATTAGCGGGGATTGATCAAGTGCAAATGTTGTAGGTATTTTACGGTTAAGCTTGGAGTACTATAATTGTTCATTAAATTGAAATAGGCGCGTCCGCCGGCGCCCCACCAGGGTTCAATTTGGCGGTCTGGGCTATCCTATGGTGCATAATTTCGCTTTAAACAGTGCGATAGAGTATGGATAAGAAAGGTTACTGTAGTCTTTAAGTGAATCGAATCCGGGCGTCCTCTGGCGCCCAGACAGGGTGCTATTTGGGGCCCCGGGCCTCCCGTGTTCGGTTTGGCGCCTACGTTCGTTTAAGTGAGTGCTAAAGACTATGAATAACTTGGGGTACTATAGTCGTTTATTAAGCTGAAACAGGCGATTCCGCCCCGGGCTAGACTGTGAGCACTTTGCGTTTATGTTCCCGTTACTGTATTCTTTGTGTTTAGGTTGGGTTTGCGTTAGTGGTTGCGTTTTGATTTGGTTCGTTTTTGTTCTTTCTTTTTTCGTTTTCGTTTGTGTTTTTTTCTTTGGGTTTGTATTTGTGTTTGTGGTTGGTTTTGCGTTTGGATTTGGTTTGTTTTCGTTTGCTTTTTCATTTGTGTTTTTTGCTTTGGGTTTGTGTTTGTGGTTGGTTTTTTGCGTTTGGATTTGGTTTGTTTTCGTTTGCTTTTTCGTTTTTTTTCTTTGTGTTCGTATTGGTGTTTGTGGTTGTGGTTGGGTTTGTTGTTAGGTTTTTGTTTTCGTTTGCATTTGTTTGTTTTTTCTTTGTGTTTGTATTGGTGTTTGTGGTTGTGGTTGGGTTTGTTGTTAGGTTTTTGTTTTCGTTTGTATTTGTAATTGTGTTAGCGTTATGTTTGCGTTTTGTTGTTTAGGTTTTGGTTGGTTGTGGTTTGGGTGGGCACTGTCGGGTTTACGATGATTAATAAACACACAGGTAATGGTCTTTAGCATAAAGGTTTTTCACAGAAGCCAGAGCAGGGCCTGGCCGGGACGGCTAGTTCTATATAAATTCCAATTCATCCGGTGGGGGGAACACCCCCCCTCCCGAAGAGATGCCTGAAGAAAACTCTGAATAAGACCACAGATCCTAGATGCCGTACTGAAACTACCTTGATGCCTTACTGAAACAACTGTGATGCCGTACTGAAAAACCAGTATCATTGTTAAATGCTTTCAGTGCGTGACGAAATTCCAATATAGACTTTAGATTGTGGTGCTAGATGTGTGGTATGTTAGACATCACACGACAGACATGTTGATAGACCAACATAGACATGTTGATAGACCAACATAGACATGTTGATAGACCAACATAGACATGTTGATAGACCAACATAGACATGTTGATAGACCAACATAGACATGTTGATAGACCAACAGTTGATAGACCAACATAGACATGTTGATAGACCAACATAGACATGTTGATTGACCAATAGATGATAGACCAACATAGACATGTTGATAGACCAACAGTTGATAGACCAACATAGACATGTTGATAGACCAACATAGACATGTTGATTGACCAATAGATGATAGACCAACATAGACATGTTGATAGACCAACAGTTGATAGACCAACATAGACATGTTGATAGACCAACATAGACATGTTGATAGCCCATGTTGTACAATACCAGACACCTACCGTGGGGTTTATCTTTCCTCTATCTAAACCAAATTTGATGGACATACCATGTTTGAGAGCACAGACTAGATCGTGGGATAAAGTTTACAAGATGTCTTGCTGCATATTTTATTTTAAACATATCCGGCTTGGTGACTGTGGGGGTGGCATGCTTAAATGCGAGTCTATAATCAGTGTGGGAGTGGTGGTGACACGTGGTGCAGATGAAATACAGCTTATCTGTTTCAATGACCTCTACGTTCAATGGAAGAATGTGGTCAGCACTATACCCAGCCGTGAACCCATGACATGTGGTCAGCATTATACCCAGCCCCCCCCCCTGAACTCATGACATGTGGTCAGCACTATACCCAGCCGTGAACCCATGACATGTGGTCAGCACTATACCCAGGCCCCCCCCCTGAACTCATGACATGTGGTCAGCACTATACCCAGCCGTGAACCCATGACATGTGGTCAGCACTATACCCAGCCCCCCCCCCCCTGAACCCATGACATGTGGTCAGCACTATACCCAGCCCCCCCTGAACCCATGACATGTGGTCAGCACTATACCCAGCCCCCCCTGAACCCAAGACATGGGGTCAGCACTTTACCCAGCCGTGAACCCATAATATGGTCAGCACTATACCCAACCCCCCCCCCCTGAACCCATAACATGGGGTCAGCAGTCTTCATCCCTATCATCCGACCACGCCTTCTTCTGCATGCTTATAGTCAACGAGGCGAGGGTGGGGGTGTTTGAATGTTAATGCATAGTCCCATGGTGAGGGGTGGGGGAGGGTAAATATAATGTAAGTTCTTCTTAAATCAGTCACGTAATATGAATGCAGTATTTACCTATATCAAGATTGACAGTTTTTTCTGTTTTCGATTTAAAAAAGTTTTTTTTCCCAAGTGTCAACTATCGACAGTGTACAGTTATCATTTAGAACAAGTTCTCGATAATGCACACTATTTGGGAGGTCAGGTGTTCATTAAAATTGTCCTTATTATTTTCAACATGATATTATTTGTTTACGAAAAATTTATATGAGAATTAACACTTCGTTGGTGTGTTCATTAAAATAATTTTTTTTTTTTTTTTTTCTTTTTTTTTTTTTTTTTTTTTTTTTTATTAAAATAATTTACAATTTAATTTAAAATATACATGGCTAATTGGCCTAGTGATCGAAATATATTGTGCGACCCAATTATTGCTTTTTACAATTTTTACAAAAGATAATGGGTGTATATTCGCTAATTTTGGTACACTTAAAAGTTTGTTGCTATTATGGTTTACCGGAAATTTCTAGTTTTTTATTTACATATTTTAAAGATATTAAAGAAAGGTTTAGAAGTAATTAAGACTGTATTTTATAATTTTGGAGGTCCCAATTACGTCGAGACCCCGGGAGAAATAAACCGGGAGTGATCTCCCCTAAACTTTCTCAAATATTCTAATATGAAACAACAGGGGATGGCAACCCGGCATATAGACAATATTTTTATTTAGTCCATTTTAAATACTGAAACTTTTTAAAATAGAATAAAATCTCGTAGAAAAAAAAAATGCACACTAATTGAACGCCAAATAAAATGTGCATAATAGTGCCGAATATTATTAGTACTTTATAAATTCACATGCGTTTTTAAAATTTCCCATTATTAAACTAAGATAAATCTTCACCAGCTTACATCCTAGCGTCATGCAGGAGTCATCTTTTACTCTAACAAGCACTTGTGTGTAATAACCTAACGTGGTTAATAACCTAACATCCCGAACAATCCCACCCCTACTGTGTGGGATATCTGTAATCACCCCAACTACAGTTACTGAAATGTAATCCTTTTGTCTGGGCAGCTCTGTCGGGGGTCCTTTTGTTACAAGGATGTGACATGTTGTCAGCAGCAGGGGTTTAAAGCATGGACTTCTGATACATGTTTTTGTTG